GGGAGAGGCCACAACAGTGGCCTCTCCCGTTGCGGGGCACAGGCTCCGGATGCGCAGGCTCAGCGGCCATGGCTCACGGGCCCAGCCGCTCCACGGCATGTGGGATCTTCCCGGACCGGGGCACGAACCCGTGTCCCCTGCATCGGCAGGCGGACTCTCAACCACTGCGCCACCAGGGGAGCCCTGTACTTCTAATATATATCGTGCATTTTGCTCATTTTACTTTCAGGAGCTGTCACGAAAGTTTTCAGTGCTATTAGGTAACCTTTGTACACATCTTGTATTTTTCCATTTGAATGTGCTTATTTGTGCAGTTGTGCAGGTTTCCATTTTCACTATTACAAATAACACCATCAAGAGCAGCTTGGTGCGTACAACTTTTTCTGTATTTGGGAACATTTTCTTAGAAAGAATATCCCTAAAGTGGAACTAGTAGGTCAAGGAGGGACTCACTAAGGCCTGCTTCATTCATTCTTGCAGTGCCCAACACAGCTTCATTCTGAAATTGGTACCGGGTTCATTTGGTTCTCTCACTCCTGTGACTCTGGCCCGGGATCTTTAATCCTTTTGAATCAACAGACACTAGTCTGGCCCTTCTGTTTCTTGGTTTTCAAAGGCCTTTTCGTGCCTGCTTGATGTTGCACAATTTAATGGCTGCCAGGCGACTTCCTGAGCTCTCTGCCACTTACAGGCCCTGAGCCTCGGACAAACTGGGCAGTTCAAGGCCGGCGTGATGGCAGAGAGGTGTAAGAGGGCAGAGGTAGACGGGGCCGGAGCTTGTTGGCAAAGAGTTTGGATTTTACTCAACGTGTTTAGGGAGCCTTGGATGGCATAAAATTTCTGTGTTAAGAATATGACTCCGCTGAGGGAAAATGGCCAGTGGACAAGCATGGAAGTGGGGAGGCTGGCCAGAAAATCTGTTGGATGGCTTCTAGGATGAAAACTGGCACATACCGGTGTACCAGCCAGAGAGCAGGCACTCAGTAAATGGTAGAACTGTTTCTGTCATAAGAAGTGATAGGGAAGGGTAACGAGCAGGTCTCCCCTCCCTCAGGGGGTCAGTGAGATGAGCAGTGGTCGTACCTGGACAGGGAGGGAAGTGAGTGGAAGTTGGTTCAACTGCCCTTTCAAGACATTGTTTGTAGGTGGTTCTGGGAGGGCCCGGACAATGGCGGCGGCACTTCGGTGATTGGGCAGGAAGGCAGGAAGTCGCATCTCTGCGCTGCAGGGATGAGCAAACGTCAGTCCCAAACAGTGGCTCAGGGGCTGCCGGCCTCCTGGTCATCTCCCACCAGCTCCCTCTCCCGTTCTTTGACGAGAACAATTATGCGTTCTCAATCTTACGTAAAGCGCGGGGCAAACTCAGCTGCAAGACAAGTCCCCGCACCTCTTCTTCAGGGCGGCTGGCCGCAGCACCTGCCGGCGCACCGGAGAGCACCTGACGCTCTGGTGAACAAGCCCCACCCCCGCGCTCGGCCCCGCCCCTGCGGGGCGGTGGACGCTTCCGACTCCGCGGTGCGAGCTCCGCCCACAGCTCCCGGGGCCCCGCCCGTGGGCTGTCACTCGGGGCTCCGCCCCTCTAGTGGGCGGAGCCTTCGCCCAGCCCTTTGGGCGCACGCTCGGCCTGCCCCTTCCGCGGCTCCGACCCGCCGGCGCCCACGTCCTCCCGGGAGCGCGCGCGCCGGTGCGGGTGCGTGCGTGAGCGTGCGTGAACGTGCGCGCCCCCGCCGCCTCTGCCGGTGCTGCTCCCGCGCCCTCTGCCACTGCCCCCATCGCCGTCTCCGCCGCCGCCGCCGCCGCCGCCGCCGCCGCCGCCGCCGGGTCCCGAGGCGCAGCCCCGGCTGAGGAGCGCGTCGGCCGGCTGCCCAGCAGCGCCGCGCAGGGAGGAGCGGAGCCGGCGGGCGGGCGGGCGGGCAGGCGGACAGGTGAGGTCGCGGCGGGCCGGTGGCCTCGCGTCAGGCCGGGCGGGCGGGCGGGGGTTCGGGGTGACGAGAGCGGAATGAGGGGGCGGGGGCGGGGCGCGAGGTGAGGGTGACGGAGAGTGGGGTGAGGGAGTGCAGGGTGGCACGGCGCGGGGTGGCGGGGCCGCGCGCCAGGAGGCGGAAATGGCGACGACCCTCCCTCCCCCTTCCCTCCCCCCTCGGGACCGGGGGCGGCGGCGCGGCCGGAGGAGCGGCGGAAAGGCCCAGGCCGTGCGCCGCGGTCGGGCCACCGGGCCCGCGCTTGGGGGCGGCCAGAGACCCGACGTGCGGCAGCCAGGGCCCCCACCCCCCACCCCAGCGCAGCTCGCGCTCCGGGGCCGGGGTCTGCGCGGGGCGCCCCCGCCCCGGGGAGGGTCTTTGCGGTCCTGAGGGCCGAAAAGAGGGGCGCCGCCGGTCCAGCAGCCACGTAACCTGTGCCTGGGTCATTACGCCTATAGGTCGCGGAATTGAGCTTTGTTCCTTGACGCGCTGTAGATTAATCTCGCGGGTGAAAATCATCTGGTTTGTAAGAAAAAAATGTTTTCTCTCCTCGCGAGGACATCTGAAGCAGTGCCTTGTGTTGTAGTCTTACCGAGAGAGGGTTAGGAACTCATTCCCGCGGGTTCGAACTTGTTTGTGTTGAGCGGCTGGATCAAGGACTCGCTTTTTCATGTGCCTAAGAGATGAGTTCTCACAATTCGCTCTGTTGTGCTATGCAGGAAAAGAAGCAAAAGTTTCTGTTTTGGTTTTCAGGTTTAGGTGTGATAGGGGTCATAGACTGAGAGGTGTGTCCTGGACACCTTTGTCCTTACTAGTTGTCTGTTTAAAAACTACCTTGCTGACATCGACAGTTATACTGCCCCGTCTTAAATCTGGTTGCCTGAAGGCAGAACTCTAGTCAAAGCTTCCGAGATTTTGTGTTCGTTTATTTGCTTCTCTCTTGTTAAACGTGGTGCTGCGTTTCAGGATCGCGGTGCCTGTCAGACTTTGAGAGATGAAATTATGAGGCAGGACTTACGGCCTTTCAGAAACTTCCTGAGAGCATGCAGCTCTCCTTCCACCTGTGTCAGGGTTGCGGGACTTGGGGCACCTCTGATGGCACGTGGCCAAGCCAGGGGCTGAGTGGCAGGTGCTTCCAGCAGCACGGGGCTCTGAGAGGCACACGTGTTGCA